AAATCACAACAAGCGCGGTTGAGTATAAGTCTCAGGAGTTTACCTGCCGAGGTATTTGTTTCCTACCAACACCGCATCAATTAACCACACCATTAACAACGCACCTACTAGCTACAAGTCGTACCGTTGCATGTGGACAACAAATATTATGATCTACACCATCCTTTAGATCTAGTAGTTGCTAGTATAAGAGACTGAGTTGTGGTGCGTCGGGAGCCCGTTACAGTAGCTAGATATCAAGCTCCTCTGGGGGTCCTACCGGTAGACTTCATTCCAATAGAATCTTGAATGATCTTGAGAGATTAAAGCCAGGAACAAGCCCTTGAAGAGATGGTGCAGACAACCAGTAGCTTCGTGGCTCAGAATTGTGTCTTAGGCGTCATGTGTCGTCCGTCAATGGACCTAGCTAGCTAGTCTCCTGCGGGTTGATTCCTGCTGTTGACTGCTGCAGATACTTCGTCTTTCCTCGTAGCTAGTGACACGTTGCCACTCAGTCACCACGAGCGACAAGATTTCTTGTTTCGTCTTGTTGAATTGAATGTCTTGTTGTAGTAGTAGTAGTAGCTGCAGCTGTCGTCGTAGGCAATCGTCGTAGCATGTTGATCAGTTGTCGAAATTCGGCCTGGCAGTAGACAGCCCATCGTCGTGCTTCCTGGTCTTCCCACGCTGGAAGAAACATGTAGAGATAACAGAGCGACAACAGAGCACCAACCTAGTTGTTGTCGGCCATCCAGTCGGCATCCAGTAGTTCTGTTATCGCCGTTATCATTCATAGCTACGGTAGCTAGCTAGCACAGCCGCCTCCATGCTCAAATTTGCCCAAAAAGAAACTCGTCATTAACATGAACAATTTCCCCCTTTGAGTGACTTGACTCAATCTACTGAGTCACTCGACTAGATAGTCAATACTCGTAGCGCGGATGTCAGACATGATCCCCATAGCTACCAGAAGAATCCGCAACATCATCGCCGTCGCTATTTGTTTTTGCACCTTCGCCGTCGCCGATTGATGGCAAGGCAGCAGCGAACAGCGGCTCGGTGGTGGGCTGTATTGGGAGAGCAAAGAGGGCGGGAGTAGGGCAAAACGGGAATCGGTGGCGATGAGGAAATGGAGGAAGGGAGGGAAGTCGAGAGGGAGGAAGAGGGGCAAGATTTATCGGGAAGCGTGCAAGTCAGCATCCCAGAGAGAATTGGTGGTAGCTCCATTTGCCAGCTAGGACACGAGAGCCACATTGTGCAGAGTGGCGGGCCCAAGAATAGCTAGCTGGCTGAGCCATATGATTTGGTAGACTGGCTGAGCCTAATAGAGACTCATAGGGGGCACTCTTCATAGCACCCTTTGTAGGAGAAAAGCAGAACTCCTAAGATACACTGCCAATAAGCAAGAAGGGCATTGCCTGATAGCTAAAACCCTCTCCTCCTCCCCTCACCTTATTTCTTTCCTTTTTTGTTGTGTTTCCTGATTGAATTTTGTCCCCTCGCTACTAGCTACTTTGATTACAAAAGCGTATTTATGCTGTTCTATTTAAAAATTTCCTATGTGCACTACAGCAAGAGTGCCACCGTTCCACCATCGCCTCTGTCACTTGCATGACTGTATCAGCAGAGGCATTATAAGACTTGGTTTCACGAGATTCGTTCATCCATTGTGAAACTCCTCCTCCGTTGTAAGCGAAGAAGTGATTCTTGCCGAACAAGGCCACCAATGATCCATACCAGTTGGGTACATAGTATAGCTTCTGGAAAGAACTCAAACAAGGAGCCACACTGTGGCATGAACATACTTGTGAGAAATTGCTGTCCATGTGGACCCATGACAATATCCACTTCTGACATGAACTTCATCTGTCCCATCAACGACATGCCCTTGAAAGAAGATTGGTACAACACATCATAGCCAGCCTTCTTAAGTCTATCCAGTACCTCATTACTGTTGGCAATCGATCGCCGAGAATCCTGCCTATCCAGAAAAGCAATAACTGGACCCTTCTTGCTGCTGCCATTTGTAGGACAGCCAGCTCTCTTGTCATTGTTAGGTGTGTAGTAGTTGAGAAAGCCTTCTGCCATTGTTTTGGCATGTTCTCTTGACGCCATTGCTTGAGATGATGACAGGACAGGCAATGACATGCTTAGAGATTGATTAATAGAGTGCTTCTAGGTAACAAGATCAAATCTCCCTTCTTACCATGGATGCCTGTCTAGGTTGCCATAGTTTCCCAAGGTGCCATCACATGAACCTCAGGAGAGTCTTCATTGGTTCGATTTCCAATGTCCAATCGCACACCAAATGCATCTTGCATGGCCTTGTACATACCATGAACTGAGGCCATGTCATCAGTCCCATGGTCATACTGTTGAATGTACAGTACTGGTGTTTTGTTCTTGTTATGGTCCATCTGCCACCATGAGAAACATCGAACAAGCTGCTGGAAGTTGTGAGGAACATCTGAAACAGGAAGATGTTTGACAATCGGCAAACTGCTTCAGTGGAATTGTGATTGGGAAAGAGAAGCCTGGCATCACTTTTGTTAAGAGCTCGTTGACCCTCTGGAAAGTATGGTCTACCAGGGCCAAGGAACATTTCCCAAGCAGGCAAGGTGCCGTTGTAGCGAGTTTCTGCAACATAGGGGTTTTGCTCGGTGCCATCGATTGCTTCAGGTGGAATACTCATCTTTCCCCCTCTTTTCTCTTCTACAATTGTGCAATTACCAAACTTGTTGCTGTTACAGTTGTTGCTGTTTCTTGCTGCACGACAAGAGTGCCACCGCTCCACCATGACTGCCGTGACTTGCTCCACCGCCTCAACAGAGGCATTGAAATGCCTCGTGTTTCGCCTATAGGCATTCAGTGCTTGTCCTCCTTGATAAGTCAAGAAGTGATGCTTCCCCGACAAAGCAACCATTGAACCATACCAGTTGGGCGCATAATACTGTCTCGGAAAGAACTTCAACAAGGAACCACACCAAGGCATGAACAAGCTTGAGGTGAACTGTGTTCCATGTGGCCCCATGACAATGTCTGCCTCAGACATGAACTTGATCTGTTCTATCAGCGACATGCCATGAAAGGATGGTTGGTATCGGATATCATGACCGGACTGACGCAGCTTATCAAGGACCTCAGGGCCGTTGGAGATAGACCTTTTGGAATCCTTTCTGTCCAGGAAGGCCATGACTGGTTTGGACTTCTTGCTTTTGCCATCAGCAGGACAGCCGGCTCTCTTGTCATTGTTGGGTGTGTAGTGGTTGAGCAAGCCTTCTACCAAAGTCTTGGCATGGTCTGGGGAGACCATGGCTAGTCAGAAAGGAACAGCAGAAAGGAAAGAGTTGAGAAGTGGTATATGCATGAATGCTGAGTGTTCCAAAACTCCGCATGCATTAATCTTACCATAGGTCTTGGTCTGTACATCCATAGCTCGCCAGGGGGCATCCACATGCACCTCTGGAGAGTCAGTGTTGGCTCTCTTTTCAATATCCAAGCGAACTCCAAAGACCTCATGCATGGCCTTGTACATGTCATGAATCGACTCTGTTCTGCCATTGCTGTGATTGTACTGTTGAATGTACAATACTGGTGCTTTGTTCTTGTTTTGATCAAGCTGCCACCACGAGAAACAGCGGAGGAGCTGTTGAAAGTTGTGAGGGAATACATGGAAGTGTTGGATGTCCGACAATTGACAGACAGCTTCACGCGACTTCTGGTTGGGGAATACAAGCCTGGATTCATCTCCACGAATACGATCACGATTCTTTCGGAATTCAGGTCTGCCTGGACCAGTAAAGAGAGCCTGAATGGGCAAAGTGCCATTGTGGTAATGGGTTTCAGCCACAAAGGGTTTCTCTACGGTGGCATTGAGTGCTGCTAGAGACATGTTTATCCATTCACTTGTCTGCTCTACCTCGATGCTGGTGATCACAGTTGTGTTTTGTTGATCTCGGCTTCCCGCTTCATGTCTGGCAGCTCCAGGAGATGCTCCCACTGTTTGGCTTTCCTTCTTCTCCTCTTGCTCCTGTTGGTGATTCAATACAGATCTCAAATTGGCAACTTTTTGCTCAAGTGGCTTCATCTCTTCATTGGACTCTAGCAACTTGTACTGAAGACTGTCAAGCTGTTCCTGTCCTCCTAGGAAACGACCTTCTCTTCGTAAGTTCATCCATTCTGGCGAACGTTGATGAGACTCAATGGGCCCTTCCTCGATGTCCATGAGACGATAGATCCACAAGTTACGAGACTGGAGTGCCAACATGACGATGGCAGCAAATACTAGTGCGATGGTTCCTCTGGGAGACGGCATGGTGGCTCAATTTTATGTTTCTCTGTATGGCTCTCGCGTGCAAATGATAACTTCAAGCCAGCTACAGCAGTCGGAACCAGTTAGTTTATGGGGTTGCCAGTCCGTTGCATGACTGCATTGGCCGCAATGCCACCGGAAAAGGCAATTGAGACATTCAGGATTAAGGGGGTTTAGAGTAGGGACATTCAGGATGACCAAAGGAAAGAAGACCTAGCCAGACTACAAGTACTACTACCGTAGCACTCGACCCTGTTATTTCAGAAAAGAAAGCTTGAAAGCTTTGGGACTGTTATTTGGTTTCTGCAGCTTGTTCTGCGCAGTTTTTGCTACCGATTACGGTGCCAGTGTGCCAGTTCTTCTGCGAGGAGACCTGCGAATGCCAACATGAAGCTTTGCGACTCTGATTTGGTTTCTGTTCGTTGAATCAGAATCGAATAGAATCGAATAGAATCGAATAGAATCGAATAGAATCGAATAGAATCGAATAGAATCGAATAGAATCGAATAGAATCGAATAGAATCGAATAGAATCGAATAGAATCGAATAGAATCGAATAGAATCGAATAGAATCGAATAGAATAGAATAGAATCGAATAGAATAGAATAGAATAGAATAGAATAATCCTCTCGGCTCCCAGAATGTATAACAAAAAGAAAATTTTGCCACCATGGCAACAGTGTTGGCCAAAATAATATGGGGGGTTTGGAGTGGGGAAATTATCTACGGAATAAGCCAGCCGGGGCCAGGCTTGGCCAAATGGTCTCTAGCTAGCTATTAGCTTTGCCAATACATTGATATAGCTGAGTCGAGTCTGTCAAAGGACTGCCGGTAGCTCCCCAACACACCCACAGACACTCACCTTGAAAGGCATCAGCTATCTACAAGGTCAGCTTGGATTCCATTTTGTTATCATTCTGCCATGGATTTCTCCTAGCTAGGAAAGGTCCTCCAGTCTTCACTCTCAGCAATCAATCTGCTCTCTAGAGTCTGGTAGAGGAGTGGTTGGCTTTGCATGAAGATTGGAGCACCCATACAAAAGATTCAAAGGAGAATTGTTGGCTTCGTGCCCTACAAAAATGAGCAGATTTCATGTTTGTAAACAAGTCAACAAGTCAATACAGTAGTACAGCTTAAAACGGGGGTCTAGAGTAGGTGGATTATCTACGGAAGCCAGCCGGGGCCAGTAGTGAGTAGATGCCGCTTGTTGCATTGCGCGTCGTTGGCTTCGGGTCGATGGCGTCATGGTCGATCCGTGGCGTCATGGTGGCCCCGTGGAAGCAATCATTGACCGAAAGATGGAAGCTGTCATCGAACGGAAGAAGCTTGTTGCCGCCGGTGGTTTCCAGCCTTTTTTGCATTAGCGGTAGAGGCGTCGCTTTCGATCGAGTCACTCTGTGGAATAGGAAGCGATCATCTACTTGATCAAATTACTTGAAGGGAATATCACTTTCGTTGTTTGATGGTACTGGTACATTCCAGTTATTGCATACCTTGACAGCTATAGACAGGGTTCCAGAAGGTCTATCTCCAACAGCCAAAAGGTCCTTGATAGCCTAGCCTGGGTCAGGCCGGGCATGACGTCCGATACCAACCATCCTTCAAGGGAATGCCACTTATTGAAGAAGTCGAGTGTCTGAAGTAGACATTGTTATGGGACCACGTGGACAGCAGTTTACTCCAATCTGGTTCATGCCTCGGTGTGGTTCCTTGTTCGAGTTCTTCCCCCAAGAGTACTATGCACCTAACTGGTTTGGATCAATGCTGGCTCTGTCAGGTAAGCATCACTTTTTCACCTATCAAGGTGGACCACCACGGCTTGGCAGAGCAGGAGAGACTCAGTCCTACAATGTCTCTGTGGAGGCTGTGGAACAATTGTCGACTGAAGTTATGGTTGAATGGTGGCACTCTTGCTGTAAGGAACCGGGGAATTAGAGAACAGTCTCAAACTATAGCTGTGACTGTTGCTATAAGGCTGCATACATTGCTGGTGAACTTGTGTCGCCTCTGTGGTCTACTAGCCAGCTAGATTGATTTCTGAGTCTGCACCGTGAGATATTGAACACTAATTCACAAGATACACAGCCATTGCAAGCAACTTCCGTGGCTGAGCGAGGGAATGGCTTCACCTCATATCGGTAGGCAGTGGTTCTTCTGAGGAAACTTACTTCAAATCAATGATTCGATTCTGAACCATGGCCAACGTGATCCTAGTGATGCTGTTCCAAACCAATCACCCAATTTGCTGCCTGCGAAAGTAATCTCTCCGAGGCTGTTGCTTCCTATTGCAGCGTCAACACTGTTGACGAAGTTACCGATCGCGGCGCCGCTCGTCCGACTTCTCCCCCTTCTTCATTGCTGTGAATCGGTACTGAGCCTTCTTCAGGGGCTGCACTATGCTTCTCTTGCACCGTTTCATTGTCGCGCTGCTCGTCATCTATCGGCTGCACTACGTCACCCCCTTCCTCGTCTCGCTCAACCTCGCTGCGTCGGTACGGCATGGGTCCTCGTTCCTCACCCTCTGTTTTCAAAGCAGGCATTCCGTACAAGACGGATGCAGTATTCTGATCGAGCTCGCCGTCATCAATGTCCACCTGAGCTGCCATTTCGAGCGACAAGTTTCGGAGCGGTCGTACGATCGTACGACTCAAGTGCATGTGAAAGGCAATGGTTACCACCAATGGAACGAATCCAAAAGCACCCTGAACGGGAGCTTCTTTGATGCCCATGTATGCAATAAAGATGAGTTCTCCCATGTACAAACAAGCCATGAGAAACGGAAACAGTTTCTGCCAGGTGGCATCCCCACCACCTTCAAATTCTTGGGCATAGACGTGCAAACACTGGTGCTTGTACACGAGATAGTACCCCGCAAAGTACACAACGCCAAAGACTTCCATGATTGGGACAATGGGCATGTATACGATGACAACGAGGAACACAAAGACCACCGGTGGAACCTGCTCTCCCCACACAATCGAAGGAGGCGTCTTGGCTTGGTCAAGTTGCCGCTGTGTGAGCATGGCTTCGGGCTGAATCAACTTCATGACCAGGCTGACCCCGTAGGTGGGCAACATGGAAAGTTCTAGCCCAAAGGCTCCAAATGACCCCACTAGCATCATGTTAACGAAAAAGACGGAAGCTCCGGGCATGGCAGTTGCGATAATGTCAATGATCCCAGTTGGGTCGTTGATCATGCCATCAATCTGATCAAAGGCGCTACCTCCAATCAGAATGAGCCACAAGTTGCTGCAGGAATAGGGTTAGAGAGATAACGGCGCGTTTGAGAATACCGGTAGCCGTAGTCTAGTGTTGTGAGAAAAACAAACAGTTATGGAACAAATCACGAGGAACGTACGCAAGCTGGAACAACTGATGCCAGTAGAGAGCATAGGCATCCACTTCGGCGGCCGACTTGTATCGGACGAGATGAGTTGCCGCCGCCACAATGGCCATGTACAACACTGCCATGAGAACCGACAAGAAAATGACGGGCAAGAGTCCACTAATCAGCCCGTACCACGCTGCGGTTGGATCGGCCGGTGGCAACCCCAAGCCTTGTAAGATGCCATTGAGATTGGCAATGGCCGTAACGAATGCCACGGGGATGGCCCAAAAGCAAACCCCGGCGGAAAAGACGAGCGCGGCTTGTTTTTGGAAAATGACTTGCTGCGTGAGGGATACCGTGACATTGTCCCACAAGACGCCCTTTGGATCGGGTGCGGCAAAGACGACCATACGATCGGGATTCCCCGTCAGCTCGCATTGAATGGCCGCCTGTTTGGCACGAAGACTGGTAAATGTGACAAAGGCTGTCGAGGTGGCCTTGCTATCATCGTCTTTGGCCGGAGCCGTTTCTTCCAACTCGGTGGTGTGTGGTGGAGCTTCAGTGGTTCCGTCACCAGTATTCTTGGTCGTTGTCGTCTGAGGGGACTGTTCTGCTACATTGTTTTGAAATGTGGATCGCTCTTGATCAATCTCGAGATTCAAACGGGCAATTTCTGCTTCGTGGTGTTCCACAGCATCCACCTCCTCTGCATCATCTTTGCGTTTGATGACTGGTCTGGGTTTGTCGGGTTTGGCATGCAGAAAGGCAACGACTTGTTCTAGTTTTTCAATATTCTCTTGTCGTTCTTGAATGAGTTTCTGCAATTGTGTCATTTCCAGCAAGACCGTGACCTGTTGCACTTGATTGGGAAAGAGTCGTTCAAAGTAGGCTTTCAATGCCTTGTCGGTACGAAACTCGGGAGGGATACCTTCGACACGCACGGCGTATCGATATTCCTGTGGCATGTCTTGGTCGCCACGTGCCAAAAAGGCCGATCGATGAGTGCGAAAGAGTTGCCATTCGTTCCAAAAGGCATACAACACGAATGCCACAAACAGGTACCATGCCAGCAGGGATGCCCACAATCGAGGAGATGCCGCTTCGACACGTGCCAATGTGATCTGATTGAATTGCAAGGTGGCATTGCCTCGATTGTCGCCCGTGGCATAGACGGGAATGAGTACCAACACGGCCAATACGGATCCCAGACCACACAGTTGAGCCCCCAAGCGAAGGAATCGCAGAAACATGAAACTGTCCAACCCGACACAGCGCAGCAGTTCGTCTTGTTCCACTTCCCACGCCGATTTCCACCAAGACGTAGCAAAGGGAGCCGGGGATCGATGCTTTCGAGTGTGTTGTCGTGGTTCGTAGAGGTCCACCGAGTTTTTCTTGGAGTCTTGATGGCGTTGGTACAGAAAGAAAGCGTAGAACACCAGGCATTGAAGGGCACTCACCAGAAAGGTCACCCAAATTCCAGACCACGTCGTGATGGTGGGTTCTCCTTCTTCCTGCTGTTCTCCTCCTGATCCAGTGCTGTTGCTGCTCTCTGCAGAACTTGTGTTGGTCCAGACATCCGAATCATTGTCACTGCTGTGGTTGACCAAGGCTGTTGTCCACACATCGGATGTGGCGTTGTAGTAGATTGTCCAGGTCATGCTTGAAGTCTACGGTATGGTATGGAGAGGAGAGTTGGACGGAGAAAGCAGTTGTGGATCGAGGACATCGAGGTCTCTGTTCGACTTTCATTGCGCAAGAAGTGACAACCGGAAGAAGAATTGATTATGAAGGCGGGCGGGGAAGTTGTGAAAAGTTGTCTCGGAACTCGGAACTGGACATGGGTCATTCTGTCACTTAATTACAGTAAATCCTGAGTCTGGGGCAGTGTTAAACAAACGTTAGATCATTAATTCCTCCGGTCATTGAAGAAAAGATATTTATTCCTTTCTAATTGAGTAAGAAGGTTTTTAAATCTTGGAGAAGGTGAATTTACTTTGACCTTGACCAGCTCACAATTTCGTTCACCTGGCATCAATTTGTCTTCGTTGCCAGATGCTTTGTCCATGGCACCTTTCCTCATCCACAACTACAACACGAGCAACCGTTTTGCTCTTGTACCAGAGGCAAGCCTGTAGTAGTTAGCTAGTTAGTTAGTACTAGCATCACCATCGGAACCATGCCGCGCTACTTTACGTTCGTTGTCGGGGCAGCCGTCTTGATGCTGCTCTCAGAGTCTCCCACGATGAACAAGATCTTTCGTCAATTGACGCTTGGAGCACCCCAACATGGAACACGTCGAGGACTGCACATACAGGACGAAACCATTAACCTCAAGGAAGATCTCGTCAAGGCCAAACCAGAAAACGATCCACAAGAGCAACCCATTGCCAGCATGCACGACGAGAAGGAGGAGACGAAGAAGCCCACGACAGAAGCGACGCCCTCTCCGACTCTGACGACGCCAAGCCCCACGGATGCTACTACCGCCAAGAATAAACCAGCAAGCACTGAATCACCACCAAAAGACAGCGATGATGAAGACGATGAAGACGACGAGGACGACGACACTGGCAAGTTTGTCATCCATTCCATCGTCGAGAATGGGGAAAATTCTTTGCCCATCCCGCCAGAGGCAGCCTTGGGAACCACGGAAAAGCCATATGTGGCAGAAACACACTACAACAATGGCACCTTGCCCCTTCAAGATCTCTTCCAAGGTCCTGCTAGGCCCCAATTTCCCAAGCATTCGGATCACAGCAACGAAGCCAATCTGGTCTTCCCGAATCATGATTCTGCTGAAGCTGTCTGCCGCATTGCAGACTTCAAACTCTATGAAGAACTCCCTCACAATTTTCAGCAGCTTGTCCGTTGCTTCTCGTGGTGGCAGATTGAGCAAAACAAGAACAAAACACCCGTCCTCTACATTCAGAAGTACAACAGCAATGGCCGTGCAAACATGGAATCCATCCATGCCATGTACCAGGCCATGCACGATGCCTTTGGTGTTCGATTGGATGTTGACGTCAGAGCCAACACTGATTCTCCAGAGGTGCATGTGGATGCCCCCTGGCGAGCTATGGATGTACAGACCAAGACCTATGGTAAGAGAAATGATTGCAGTATATCGAAGGGACCTAGAATCCAAGGAACCATCAACCACCAGTTTTAATTCATATTTCGTGTGTGTTTCCCTAACTATTGACAGCCATGGCATCTTCTGAACATGCCAAAACCATGATGGATGGTGTGCTCAACCACTACACACCCGACAATGACAAGAGAGCTGGGTGTCCTGCTGCCACCAAGGACAAAAAATCAAAGCCAGTCATTGCCTTTGTGGACAGAAAGGACTCAAAGCGGCGGTCCATTGGAAACAGCCAGGCAGTAGTTGACAAGCTCCATGCGGCTGGTTATGATGTGCACTACCAGTCATCCTTTCATGGCATGTCATTGCTAGAACAAATCAAGTTCATGTCTGAGGCAGACATTGTCATGGGTCCACATGGACAACAGTTCACCACAAGTTTGTTCCTTCCTCAGTGTGGCTCTTTGTTTGAATTCTTCAACAGACAGTACTATTCACCCAACTTTTTCGGATCAATGGTGGCCATGTCTGGCAAGCACCACTTTTTCACCTATGAAGGAGGTGAGACAACAATGAAAAAAATGCAAGGCCCTCGACGAACTAAGCAGTTTGATGTCTCTGTGGGGGCAGTGTTGCAAGTGACTGAGGTGATGGTGGAACGTTGGCACTCTTGTTGTGCAGCACAGGCAGAAGCAACGACCATAATGACCAAAAAACAAGGACAGCAAGCACAAACGAAGGCATTGTTACGAGGTGGAGCTGCAGAACCTGTACCTTCGGTGTCTACTGGCAATCCTGCTAAACCTCTATCCAACAACAAGAACGGATCAACAAGAAGTCATGACAGCAATGAGCTAGTCATCCACTCCATTGTAGAACCAAAGAAAGGAGGCTGGTTGACAATGCCTCCAGAAGCAGTGGAAAGTACCAGTGAGAGACCTTATGTGGCCGAAACACACTACAACAATGGCACCTTGCCCATTCCATTTCTCTTTCGAGGTCCTGGTAGACCAGATTATCAAAGCCGTGGTGATCGTAGAGGTGGAGATGAATCAAAGCTCATATTCCCCAACCATGATTCAAATGAAGCGGTCTGCCAACTGTCAGATGAAAAACTTGCCAATGAGTTCCCTCACAACTTTCAACAGCTTGTCCGGTGCTTCTCCTGGTGGCAGCTAGAGCAAAACAAGGACAAGACACCTGTGCTGTTCATCCAAAAATACAATCATACTTGGAGAGGAAAGATGAAGAACATGGACACAGTCCATGCCACCTACAAGGCCATGCAAGATGTCTTTGGAGTGAGGTTGGACATTGAGAATCGAACCAACCCTGACTCTCCAGAGGTTCACGTTGAGATGCCCTGGCGGAGAATGTATGATATGACTAGGACTTATGGTACGACGTGCAGTTTCAACGGAAACACAAACCATATGCATTCTTTGATATTGAACTTATCATCCTGTTTCATTGCCCATCTCATTTCGCGCACAGCAATGGTATCCTCAGACCATGCCAAGACTCTGGTAGAAGGCATGCTTGACTACTACACACCCAGTAATTCAAAGCGAGCTGGTTGCCCTGCTGATTCAAAAAGTGAAAAACCCAAGCCAGTCATTGCCTTTCTGGACAGACAGGATTCTCGGCGATACATTGGCAACATAGATGACGTCCTGGACAAGCTTCGCAAGGCTGGTCATGATGTCCTATACCAACCATCCTTCAAGGGCATGTCATTGACTGAACAAATCAAGTTCATGTCTGAGGCAGACATTGTCATGGGCCCACATGGAGCACAGTTTACAACAAGCATGTTTATACCTCAATGCGGCTCTTTGTTTGAGTTCTTTCCCAGAGAATACTATGCACCAAATTGGTTTGGGTCAATGGTGGCCATGTCAGGCAAACATCACTTCTTCACCTACGAAGGAGGAACGCCTTTGCTTGATAAAGCAAGAGAGTTGAAGCTCTACAATGCCTCTGCTGAGGTAGTGGAGCAAGTGACAGGGATGATTGTGGACAGGTGGTACACTTGTTGTGCTGCACAAGCATCTACAACCAGCCAAAAGCAGCAAACACAGGTGAGGACTGCTCCATGGATTGAATCTGCAGATCCAACTTCTCCACCTTCAAGAACTTCTGCTCCCAAAATTGATACCACCAGCACCGACAAAGAAGGAGAAGGCCAAGACCAGAGGAATGAATTCATCATCCACAGTATAGTAGCAAAGAAAAAAGGAGAAATGATCTGGATCTCAGGGGAAGCAGTCAACAGCACCCGAGAAAAACCATATGTTGCTGAAACCCATTACCACAATGGCACTGTGCCCATTCAGGCTCTCTTCACTGGCCCTGGCAGACCTGAATACCGAACCCGTCTTGCTAGCAGACGCAATGATGAATCTCAGCTGGATTTCCCTAATGGCGATGCAAACGAAGCTGTCTGCCAACTTGCGGACTCCTACCTCTACCATGAATTTCCTCACAACTTTCAAAAGCTTGTTCGATGCTTTTCTTGGTGGCAGCTGGAGCAAAACAAAAACAGAACACCAGTCCTGTACATTCAGCAGTACAATATGACCTGGAAGGATCACACGTTTAACATGGATTCAATTCATGCCATTTATCAGGCAATGCAAGATGTCTTTGGAGTAAGATTGGACATTGAGAATCGAACCAACCCTGACTCTCCCGAGGTGTATGTTGAAGCGCCATGGCGCAAAATGTCTCGGCTGACCAGGATTTATGGTATGCATGGAGTTTGTGAAGTCATGGTTTCTCTGGAACATGTTCTGACATCGTTCTTCCATATTTCTACTTCTTTTGATGACAGCCATGGTATCACCGGAACACGCCAAAACCATGGTTGCAGGTGTGCTCAATTACTACATGCCTTCCAATGGCAACAGAGCTGGGTGTCCCGCTGCCGCCAATGACAAGAAGTCCAAGCCTGTCATTGCCCTCTTGGACAGGCAGGATGCCCGCCGGAGGAAACTTGCCAACAGTAATGAGATCCTAGACAGGCTCCGTAGGGCTGGCTACGATGTGCGCTATCAACCATCGTTCAAAGACATGTCGTGGCTAGACCAAGTCAAGTTTATGTCAGAAGTAGACATTCTCATGGGACCACATGGAGCACAGTTCACCACCAGCATGTTTATGCCTCAATGTGGTTCCTTGTTTGAGTTCTTTAATGAGCATTACTATGTACCCAACTGGTTTGGATCGATGATGGCCATGTCAGGCAAGCATCACTTTTTCACTTATGATGGAGGGGATGCAAATGTGGATCAAACTCGGGGAATGAAGAACTACAATGCCTCTGCTGATGCAGTGGAGCAGGTTACAAGGGTAATGGTGGAACGGTGGCATTCCTGCTGCAATGGTCAGCAGCAAGAAAATGAGAGGCATAAGAAAGAATTCGTCAAGTTGCAACCTGCAGCAATGAAGCACCAACAAGAGGAAGAACAAGTGAAGGCATTGCTGCGAGGTGGACTTGCAGAACCTGTACTTCCTCTGTCTACCGGCATTCCTGCTCAACCTCCATCCACCACGAAAACCAGCAAATCATCAAGTCAAGATCAGCAAGACAAGTTTGTCATTCATGACATCGTAGAGCCAGAGAAACCGGGCTGGTTGATGATGCCAGATGAATCCTTCACTGGCACCTATGAGCGTCCCTTTGTGGCAGAGACACACTACATCAATGGTACCTTGCCTATTCGGGATCTCTTCAAAGGTCCCGGTAGACCAGAATACCCAAGCGGTTCTAAAAACAGAGATGAAGCAAGTCTGGTCTTCCCCAATCAAAATTCAAGTGAAGCAGTTTGCCAATTGTCAAACAGCTTTCTCTTCCAATATTACCCTCACAACTTTCAGCAGCTTGTTCGATGTTTCTCATGGTGGCAGCTGGAGCAGAACAAGAACAAAACACCAGTCCTATACATTCAAGAGTACGATCACTATTCTAGGAGAAAGAAAACAAATATGGACCTGGTTCATTTCCTCTATGATGCATTCCACGATGCCTTTGGAGTAAGGCTGGACATTGAGAATCGAACCAACACTGATTCCCCAGAGGTTCATGTTGAGATGCCCTGGCGCAAAATGTACCAACAAACTAGGACTTATGGTGCGTATGATGCTGTGATTGGGCAACTCGAAACCTCATGCTTTCAATTCCAAGAGCTTGATTCTAACTAGTTTCTATTGCCTCTCCATTTTCTTTGCTAACAGCCATGGTATCCCCCGAACATGCCAAAACCATGGCAGAAGGCTTGCTCAACTACTACACACCCAACAATGACAAGAGAGCCGGATGTCCCAGAAATGGCAACAACCAAAAGTCCAAGCCGGTCATTGCGTATATTGACAGACAAGACTCCCGGAGGGCCATTGCCAACAGTGATGAGGTCCTTGCAAGACTCAACAAAGCTGGCTATGATGTGCGATACCTACCATCATTTAACGGCACGTCCTGGATCGAACAAATCAACTTCATGTCAGAGGTAGATATTGTCATGGGCCCCCATGGACAGCAGTTCACCACGAGCATGTTTATACCTCAATGTGGATCCTTGTTTGAGTTCTTTCCCAGAGGGTATTATGTGCCCAACTGGTTTGGATCAATGGCAGCAATGTCAGGTAAGCACCACTTCTTTACGTATGAAGGAGGAAATGCAAAAGTGAATGATGCCAGGGAAGTCAAGCTTTACAATGTCTCTGCACCAGCAGTGGAGCAAGTTACGGCCGTGATGGTGGAACGGTGGCACTCCTGTTGTGCAAATCAGAAGCACTAGGCTGGTGGGGTCCGTTGTTCTTTCCAAGGCGACAGATCTGCTGTGTGCGATGCCGAAGAATGCATAGTTGCATTTTGCATGACAAATAATAGACACAACGCGACTGCACAGCGAATCGAGAAAGTGCTGTTGCTAGCGAGGAGCACAGTTCCGAGTCCTTCTTCCGAGGTTGTATCTTCACTATTGCTTCCTTTCTTATCGGCGTCCGCCTTGGCCATCGCGTGCTCGTCATGTGGGAGCATACGCGGCTTATATAGCCACTTTGGTAGCTTGCCAGCAGGTTTAGAGTGAATTATCTACGCTTTGGTTGATAGTCCCTCTATCATCGCAATTTCCAATTTGCAGCTGCGTACGATAGTTTTGGCTCCTATCGTTTTTTTGGGTGTCGCTGCATGCTTTTGGTTGATGGTTTGGGCAAGTCTTCCGGAACGCGTAAGGTTAGAGGGGGAGCCAATGGCCAATAGTACCGGTATTTGGCGTCTTCCCTTCCTGATGTCGCGCTTTAGGAGCTAGCTCCTTTGCTCG